CTAAAGTTATAGGTTTTCCGTTAAAACAAGAAATTCCGTTAGTTTTTCCGTTAAACCAAGAAATTCTGTTTCATAGCCACTTTTTATATATAAGATAATATTTTTCATCATATCAATAATTTTTCCTTCATTTTTCAACCATGCATTCTGCATCAATCTACAATTCAAAATATTTTCTTCCAAAATAAGGTGGCTCAAACACACGAGCGATAAAAATTTGAAAAATAAAGAAAATTTAAAGTGACGTTTAAAATGTTTGTTCAATATTTTTTTTGTGAGAGATATTGGAAAAGTTTTATTAACAATCAAGCCCATGTTTGGTACACATTAAAATTTTCGTTCTTATTCTTTTACTCATTTTCAACCACACATTCTTCAATAAAATAATATTTTCCATCACATCAATAATTTTTCCTTCTTTTTAATCTATTATTCCAAAATACATTCTTCCAAAATAATGTGACTCAAACACACCCTAAATATTAGAATTAACAATTAATTTATTCATTAAATTCTCATTTTCTAATTTTTTTTTTCGAATTCATTTTTAAGTATTTATTGCTTCAATAAAATAATTTATTCTTAGATTCATAAAATAAAAGTATTTTTAATTACACATTTTCCAAAAAAATAAAAATTATTTGTAAGATTTATTCTAGAAAAATCTCCGCCTAAATGGTCCAAATCCTATGTTTGAACCTTATTTTGTTGAAAATAAAATTTATAATAGTGATTTTTTAGAAAATATGTGATTAAAAATTTAAAAAAATTTTGAACTTACTTACAAAATATTTATTGTCAAAACGTATAATCGAAAATATATTTAAAAAAAAAAAAGCCATTGTTTGAGCCTCATTTTGAGGAAAAAGTGTATTTTAGAAAATTAATACTACTCAAACAAGCTTTGTAGATAGGGACAAGTGCTACGTTGGCTAAATATTTATTTTAAACGTGTTGCTAAATATTTATTTTTTTTAAATTGTCCGATGATATTGCATCACGTGTCTCATATATTTAATCTCTGTCCTTGAGCATGTTTGTGTAGCATGATTCATTTTAAAATAGTATTTTTTGAAGAATGTATGGTTAAAAATAAGAAAAAAATTTCGATTTACGTATAAAAATTACTTTAATAAAGAATGAATGATTGAAAAAGAATTTTGTAAAATGAGTTTTTGATAAAACAAGGCTCAAAGGATACCTTAATTTTTAGATAACTAGTTTTCGCCCCGTGCAATGCACGAAGTGTGTTCTGTTGAAGGTAATATTAGATTCTTTAAAAATAACATTAACAAAATTTACAAACGCTCATTTTTTAGGCAAAAAAACTGCGGAATATTCCCTCGCATAGTATGAAGTGTCACTCTACCCAAGTGCCGAGTTTAGCGGAGTGAATACTCGCGTTGTGTGGAGCGAGCAATTTTTTTTAACTAACAATTAAACCCATATCAAAACAAAATGAGACTTAATTGTATTTTAGTAAATAAGTTTCAATTTTATGAATTAGTAATTTTATTAGAAATAAGTAATATTATATATATATATATATAT